GAGTTATCGTGCGGACAGACGGACAAACAGACAAACAGAATGAAACTTTTCCGGTCAGTGGAGTAATGGGCTTCGCTAATCGCTCAGCCAAAAACCATACTTTGCCCATTTCCACCTGAAAAATAGCGCACAAGCTAGGAAACGACGGTTTATGACTCTTTGAGTTGAAATACGAGATATGTATTACATCAACAAATAGGGCAGAAAAGAATTTCAATTATTTATTTTCTTTCTGCAAATTGTTTTACCATTTTGTTGTTGTTAAGGAACAGGAACAACAGTGAAACTAGAATAGCTTCAGAATTTTAAAGATACGGTGAATCCGAAGACAATTGTAGATTTAATATGTGTTGTTTCAGGGGTGGTACTTTCTCTGTCATTTTCCGATTTGGCGCCCTCTGGCACGTCTGTATGTACAGCGTAGTCATCGTCACCGGATTTTCGTCGAAAAACCCACCTTAGCTCCCCCAACCGGTGAAAGATGCCGCCAAACGGACAAAATTTTAGTCGAAAGCAGGGGAGCACTCGAACGAATTAGAGGAAACGAAACGACGCGGTGCTTTGGTGGCACAAAACGGGAATCTGACGAATACTACGTGACCAGCGCCTACCCCCCCTCCCCCCCTCCGTGACCGACCGTAGTGCAACGCTGAACCCCCCCTCCCCCCAAAATGAACTACGTAGTATATGAACGGCCCCTTAGGAGATCGTAAGAAAAATATTTTTTCCAACTTTTTTGGCTTTTCCTGTTTTCTTCGATCCCCCTTTCAGCCCCTTAGGGTCGGCTGACAGGATTTGCCGTAGGCGTTTTGTTTAGTGGGAGTAACCCTTGAGATCCCCTAAAAAGTTGAAGTTTTTACCATATCTCCTTCTTGTTGAACAGACAGACAGACACGAGGTCGTTTGCATAAGCCCGCTGGGTAGCTTTCTCGAAGCAGTAGGGCGGGCTAAAAACCGCAAAGTAGAAAGGAAACTCTCCCCCCACCCCCAAATAACGTTTTCTAAGCAAAAGGGTGGGTTTTAGTCGCGGTGCTTCACCGTTACATCCCTCTCTCGAGTCTTTGGGGCAAACTCAAAGATGACGGGTTTTAGCGGGCCTTCGGCCCGCTACATTACTTGATTATGTTCTTTAGAAAACTGCGTAAATGAAACGGTCGGGCCGCAGGCCCGAGCGTCGCCGCCGGCAGTCCAAGCCGGCCCGGCCCCTGCCGAACGGAGTTGCCGGCGCAGCGAAGCGGAGCTGCACTGTTAAAAATAACTGTCACCTAATGACTTACTGCCTGATTGACACTCCTGTAATGTAACAGAAATGTTGTTTTCATTTGAACAATTTCGAAACTTGTGATATTCGGCCCAAAGTGGCCCACAACAAAAACCACTACGTATTACTTTGCTGTACATTTACAAGAAAAGAGAAGTTAATTTTGTTAGCAGCACATTTCGTTCCAAAACAGGACACTCGTATTATTACATTTTGGTTTTTACAGGAGTAAAACAAAGTAACTTCTTTTGGTCGGAAACTTTGTTTCCGACATTTTCATTAACGCTGCTTTTTTACAGTAAGTCCTGTAAAAATACAGTATATGCTGCTAACAAAATTAATCACATTTTCGCTGTAAATTTACAGCAATTTTTTTAACAGTGTGGCAACTCCGTTTGGCGGAAGGGCGGGCCTGCTTGTTTATCCGATTAATCCCCGTCAGGTGTGCACATAATTCCCGGAGTTCCTGGCCCCTCGGCCGCTCTCGAGCGCGCCCCGCCCCTGTCTCACGCGGAACTTGCTCGCAGCTTTCGCAAAATACCACCACATGGCCGCTTTCAGCTACAGCTTTCCATACGGGTGGCGGCTGGCGGCGCTTTGTCGGCGCAGCGTCGGCCCGGTGCTCATGTCTGGCTCAGATATATGACAACGTTCTGCCCGTTCAGATTCCAAAAAGAAAAGCGAAAAGCAGCTGTCACTTACAGCCCGCGTTTGTTTAACTGTTTGCTGCTGCACATTTGAAGCAATCCTGGGCGGCGCGCCCGCTAGGTATGAAAATGAGCTCATCGAGAGAAATATTTAAAAACTAGGTAGATGTACGCCAGACCACGTCTCGCGTAACAGGCTCCGCGATATCTCACGAAACACTGTTACGCTGCGACGCGCCTGGCATACATCTACCTAGGCCTGCGGCGCTGACACCCGAGTCGGGTAGTGCAAAAATGCACACAAAGATACGGGCCTCCGGCCCGTTAACGGCCCGTCACTTTGACT